GGTGGCTCACAATCATCTGTAATGGGATCTGATACCCTCTTCTGGTGTGTCTGAAGACAGGTACAGTGTGCTATATGCATAAAATAAATAATTATTTTTTTAAAAAATGACATAGACAGCAAAGTTTTCCACTGAGTGACATTTGAGCAAAGATGTAAGGAAAGAGTTGATGCGTGTACCTGTAGGATATGGTTGCAGTTTGGATCTTGAGAGGGGGAGAGTAAGAGAAAGAACAATAGGAGCCAGTATTGGAAAGGTAGTGGCGAGTCCACAGAAGGCTTGCACGGTCTTTGGGCTTTTCCTTTGTGTGAGATGAGAAGACAGAGCAGAAGACATACAGTGATCTGATTTGTTCCAGATCACTGTGACATCTTCATTAGCTCTTCAGCATCTAATGAAGGCTTCAGAAACCTCCTGTCTGAGGGTACCTAGCCTCCAGCACTGATAGAGAAGGAACTTGACTTTGAGAGGGACGTGCTCCCCCTCCACAATCTCCTTCCTAAGCATTGGTCACTTGCTTGGAACTCTAACATATATAGTCAAAGGACTCTTTCTATCACAAAATCTCAGTAGAGTATAAAATGAACAGACAAGAAAATGATTCAGTAGACCAAGCCCAGAGGGTGAGCACAGAGCTGGAACCGTATGTTAGAAGTCATACTGATAAGTGTTAGGAAGAGGAGATTCATAATCTACTTTGTTAGAAAGTTGAACTAGCCATTGTAACCTCCTCTGGGGACATTTGCCCCTCTAGCTGTGGCATTTGAAGAGAACTGTCCTAATTTGTCAGTGGTCCAGATTTGGGAACATTTTGTATTTTATATGGTGTTGGCTGGCAGGGAAGGAAAGAGAGAAGAGGTTCAACTCTTCCATCTTCATACTGGGAATTCAAGTTTTTCTTCTTTGTTGATGTCAAGTTTAGCCTGTTTAGCACACATTATCATTTTTTCCACAACTTCTTGATCATGTTAAACACTGTGTTGCTTGAAACCAAATCTTGATAGGCTCTTTCATCTTTATCCCACTGTGTGAAGTAATGTGATTTTAGTGCACCACAGGAAGAGGCCTGTCCTCAATCCAGCAAATATGGTGTGCTCCAGGCAAAAGGCCTTTGAACACTCTACTTAAATAAATGCGCAAAATTTCACATACTTGAGCTGTGTCATCTAGTACCAGGTTACTGTTTATAGTAGTTACTTTTCCATTGCTGTGATAAAACATGACAAAATTAACCTATGTATGAAGGAGTTTATTTGTGCTTACAACTGAAGAGACCCAGAGTCCGTGATGGTGGAGTGAAGGGATGGTGGCAGGAAGCTGAAGGCTTACATTTTTTCTTATCTTTCTTTTATTCCTTTTTTTTTTTTTTGAGACAGGGTCGTCTCTCTGTGTAGCCCCAGCTGTCCTAGAACTTTCTGTGTAGACCAGGCTGGCCTTGAGCTCACAGAGATAGGTGTGTCTCTGCCTCCCAAGTGCTAGGATCAAAGGCATGTGCCGCATATCCAGAAAGCCTCACATTTTGAACCATAAGCATAAAATAAAGAGAGCAACCTGGAAATGGTGCAAGGTAAAAACTCAGAGCCTGCCCCTCACTAATGTACTTCCTCCAGCAAGGTCATACCTCCTGAGGGTCCCCTAACAGCACCATCAACTGGGGACCAAGTATTCAAATGCCAGAGTCTTTGGAGGCATTCTTATTCAAGCTCTGAGTTTATCATAAGTATGTCCACCAACAGTGCAGTTTCATATGTGACAGGGTACCTGAGACAAGACATTGATGCTTGGGGGCCCCTGGAGAAGCTCAGGTCACTATCATCGTTCCTATCCTGGCAGATTGAGTGAGTAAGGTGAGCTCATAGTAAATACTGGTTTGTAGTTCACCAGTGGACCAAGTTTCAGACACAATAGCACACTAACTGAATTTTAACAGACAAAGCTTTGGGGAAAGGAAAGGAGACAGGTGGGACATTGAAGTCATGTTTTCTTGGTTCCTACACCAACCCTAGTAGCTTCCCTCCTGGATTGTCCAAAGTCAGTTGTTAGCAGTTGTGCCGTCTTATTGTTTATGTTTGTACAGTCTTACTTACTCTTGGTGTGTGCCAGCTGTTTGGGGAGTGATGGTCTTCCATGATTCAACCTGTGAAGAGAAAGCCTTCAGCAGTATTGTTTATTAGAATACGTATACTGACTCTCAGGGCAAGTGTCATGAATTAATACAAAACGGATTTCTGTCCTATGGGAGAACTTAGAAGTGGAAAGTGGGAATATTATATCAATTTATAAATTAGTAAAGACCTTACGTCATGTCTGTGGTTCAGCAAGGCTTTTAGAGATGGAAGGCAACATTGAGTCTGTCCTTGGAGTTGGAGGTGAGAGATGAGCCATGGAGTGACTTGTTGAGACTAGACAGGTAGAAAGGGACAGTCTCCCTGCGTCTAGTGTTAGACAGAAGCTCTTGGCCGCAGCCTACAGGAAGCAGCGTGAGAGCTGGGCCTGGGGGCCTGGCCTGAGCAGAACTGTTTTCACCTTTAAATGACACAAGGCCATACAAAAGTTTCACTGCCTTAGCAGGCCATTCCATATTCATAGGATGTGCTCCTGGTGGCAGAGGTATTGAAGAAGGTTCACAGGCCTCTTCTGATCTTAGGTCCTAGACAGCGATTGGCCTTCTGCAGCCAGCCATTCCAGCAATCCGTATAGGAGCACAGTTCTTTCCACTTTACCATCAAGACACCATAGGGACTAAAGAATTAACTTTAAAGAGAAAGCCCTTTTCTAAACAGGATGCTTCTCCCTGGATATCCAAATGCTAGCTTAACAGTGAGAGCCAGGCTCACACTGAGAACTGAGGCACAAAGAGGACCAGTAGGGTTCTAAAAGGGGAACCATGCTCTCCCAAACTGGAATCATGGGTCTCAAGCTAAATCTTGAGAGGCACAGACAAGCACTTAGGAGCCTTGGCTTGTGACATTGCTCTGGGTTGGCTTCCTATGTTATGAAACCAAGGAAGAACTTTCATGTGTCTGGAAAGACACAACCTAGCTGTAACTTGTTTCTCCGCCTTCAGTTCCTACCTTGTAAATACTAAGCTTGAACGTAGAGGTAGCTATTATATTGTTGCCTCTTTGGAGGTGGCCCAAGGAATTCCTCTTAGGACTAAAATGTTTCTACCGTTAATGCCAGGGGCATGGAAGTTGCTCCTGTTAGCCTTGGGGTCCAGAGTCCCAGGTCCAAAGCAGAGTAGTAGCTTACTGGATCTTACTGAACAATAGCGCCCCGTGGGTTTCAGTTTCTCTGGGGTTTGTCTTCCCTTCCAAACTGCACATTCGTGCAATGGATGCGGGACTTGATGGAACGCCAGTGCATCACAGATGCAATTATATTTCAGAGCAAGCCTCCTCCTTCTAATCTCTCTGCCATCACTGATTAATTAGACACTTTGAACTCTGCCCAACTGTTTGAAAGCTGTGAAAACTACAACCTGCATAGTTAAAATCTCTACACAGACCCGCTTCCTCGCTGTGCCTGCACTCCCCATCCTTTGAACATAATAAGTATTTATACATGTTTTCTAATACACGGTCTGGCTATTTTCTTATCATGGCTAGAATTCCCTCCACTGTTAGCCAAGAAGTACAAGCACACAATGAAAACCTAATAGTGAAACTATGTGAGAAACCAATTGAATCATTTAGACAAGCTCACAGCTTGTTATTGCCACGTGGCACACAAAAGTCATGTTTTTCCTTTTGAAACTTGCATGGATGCCTCGGAAAAGCTTGTTGTTGTTAATGACATCTCTTTATTGAAGTTTTACAATATTCTCGTGCTTATGAGGAACAGTGGTAGGACAGCTGGTACAGGATTAGAAAATCTCTCTCTGTCTTTGTTTCTCTCCGTCTTCCTCCCTCTCTCTGTGTCTCTCTCTTTTCCTCTTCCCCTCTCCCTCTCCTTCTCCCTTCTCCCTCAGTCTCTCCTTGTGTGTGTTCCACTTCCAAACTCAGGTTCTCATGCTTGTACAGCATGCAGTTTACCAACAGAGCTATCCCCCAGCTTCCACACTATCTCATTTTTGTGACATTTAATTATCAGTTATGTGTATATGGCACCATTTTGTGTGTGTGTGTGTGTGTGTGTGTGTGTGTGTGTGTGTGTGTGTGTAGGGCCAGGGACGGTTTTCAGGGGTCCAGTCTTTCCTTCCCTCTTTCTATGGGTTTCAGAGACAGAGCTCAGGTTCCCAGGTTTGAGCAGCCTCTACCCTCTGAGCCATTTAACTGGCCCTCATGACGCCACAGTTTACAAGTAATCTTTAGTCTTTCCTTTCTGAGATAGAATTGTCTAAGGAAGTGCCTGAGTGCTGAAAGATCTGTTCCACAAAGGACGAATTAATCTCTCTCCCTTTCCCTTCCCTCTCTTCCTGTGTGTGCCTATTTCACACTCAGGTCCTCGTACTTGAAACTGGCCGTGCTGACTTCCTAGAGTGGACATTAGGTTTGCAGGACTGGTGGGCATGCAGAGAGGAAGAGTCTCTCTCTCCTCTAACCATGTGCTGAGGCTTTCCTCAGTGCACACCATCTTAATGTCAGGCCAGGAACTCTGAAGCTCCTTACCTAGGTCCTAGCAACTCCCACGACCATTCTTTCCTTCCTCTGATGTGACATTCTTAAAGGCGAGCACTTAACACCCTTTCCCTAAGTTTAGAGAGATACTCACATTTTGACCTTCCCTTTTTGAAATCTATATTTTGTAGACATCTGTGCTTTTTCACTCCCTGGTTCCACCCCTGAATTTTAAACCAGACTTTGACCTTTTCCAGAGAAGCTTGTCTACACCAAGACCTCTGCCACTAGATCTCAGCTTCTTCATTGACCATGAGGGACTAAGCCAGCCCTCTCTCAGCCAGACTGCTCCTGAGGACTGTGGTTGAGAGGAACACAGTTGGAGCCTATAGGTAATGATACAACCCTGATTTCTATTGACATCTCTTGTCACCCTCCTAGGTGACAGCCTGCCTGATTGCTGTGGCTAAGACCGACACTGACGTTCAAGTGCGCAGAGCTGCAGTCCACGTGGTTGTGCTGCTGCTTCGGGGACTCAGCCAGAAAGCAACGGAGGTAAGCCTGTTTCCCCTTCCTTGTGTTGTCCTGTTAGCTAGTCTTCCTTGTACAGGACCAGCTCAACCCTTTTTCTTAGATACGAGCTGGTCAACAGAGTTTTCATAGCAAGAAAATGGTATCATTTGCATCTCCAACAAGAGTCTCTGCAGTGCGTTTGAGTTGCACTGCTGCAGGAAAACCACACAGGCTTACAGAGGCCTTGAGTCCTGGCATTCTCTTGGGTCAGGTTCCAAGGTGAGCTTTGGAGCACAGTCACCGTGCTCTGCAGCCTGAACTCTGGTGACTTGTCTTTCTGACTCACTTCGTTGTTCATGCTTAGGCACAGGAGGCTTCATTTAAGAGACTGATTTCCTTGCCAGGTCTCTTCCGTTGTGACATAAATTATACTTTTTTTCTTCCTTCAAGTGGGTTTGATTGGACCTCTCCCTGGTGTATAGCCAATACAGGAAGAAAGTTTATGCATCCAAATGTGTGCTTAGATTGACTGACCTCAAATTAATTTCTCTCTTGCTTCTAATGGAACTGCCTTCCCAGCTGATCAGATAGAGCCTGCATTAATAATTCACTTGCTGGCATACACAGACTCATCTGTGGCTTACACATCAGTATTTAACCGAACCTCCGGGAAGCCATTGTGAGAGTGATTGTTCTGCCACACAGAGAACTTTATTCATGCTTGTATTTTACCGTGTCAGGTTGCTGATGCCTGTTTGTACATGTAGGCCCTCAGTTATCCCCTTCCAACCTTACACAGCCACGCTTTCTCCACAAAGACCTCCTTGCTATTGTTCAGCCTGGCAGCTGAATTTCCAAAGGGCCACTTCCCTGATCATCGCCCTCAGCTGCGCTGCTCTGCCTTCTCATGGGCCTCGGCTATGTAAGGTTGGACTGAATGAGCTCATGTGGCATGAACAGGTTTTAAAAGCTTGACTGCAGTGGCCTAAACAAGTAAGGATTTGTTTTTATCAAGTCACAGGAACCAAGGATTTCTTAGCAGCTCAGCCATAGCAGGGCCTGTGTATCTAGAATTGCCATGGCCCTTTGTCTCCTGGCCACAGTGCGGCTACGGTAGCTGTGGCCTCTAGAACTGACTTAGAATAGAAATACTGAAGACAGGAGAAAGACAGTTCTAAGCACATTTACAACCTTTGGTTGGGGGCAGTCTCCTAGCATCACCAGCCCTACCCCACCCCAGCTTTTGTTTTATTCATTAGCCAGAATGCTCACCTAACCACACCCACTGTAAAGTGTCTCGATGTCATAGTTAGCTGGCACATTTCTGCTTGGAACAAAATCAAAGTTTAGTTAGCAAAAAAGGAGGCAGGAAATGGATATTGGGGCTGTGGCTAATAGTGACTCAAAGGAAGTGGGAGAAGGGTCTGGCCGAGTCACAGAGCTTCTCTAGGGGAAGACCTGTGCAGTGATGGAGTTTGCACGGACATGTGCACCATGACTTGACAATTCATAGAATTAAATGGCTTGTAAATTCTCAACAAAGACATAGCTCTTGTGGAAAACCTTTCTCAATATCACTGTTAATGTAAACTGTTAATAACTGGGAAGAATTTGTGAGGGGAATATGGGGATTCTATATTAAAATCTCTATAAGTCTAAAATTATTTAACCATAAAAGTCCATTTAAGAGACTGGAGAAATGGCTCAGTAGTTAGGACCATGTGATGTTCTTGCATAGGGCCCACGCTTAATTTCCAACACCCACACCAACAGCTCACAGCCGCCTGTAACTCCAGCTTCAGCCGACCTGATAACCTCTGACCTCCTCAGGGGCACACACAGAGATACACATGTATACGCAAATAGATAGATAATAAATAACAAAATATATTTAATATGTTACAACTCTGTAAGGAGAAATCTAAGCTCAGTGTGTTGGCTTACCCTTGTAACTAACCCCAAAACGTGGAACAAGAAGCAGGAGGGTCAGGGGTCAGGTTCACTGTCTGCTACAGAACAGTGCACCTGGGCCACATGCATCAGACGGATCTCCAGGACTCTGGACATGGCGTGGAGCTCACTTGTAGACCTCATGCTTAGTGGGGAAAGGCCCTGAGTTTGACCCCAAAGGTCCAAAAAGAAAAAATTCTGTTAGTGCATCAATCCTTACTGAGTGTGAGTTACAGTATGCACACATGTACACATACAAAGAAGAGAGTGTGCGTGTGTGTGAATTAGAGAAAATGATCGGTTCTCACAGTGAAGGATGAAGCAGAAACTCTAAAAGCGAGACGTGCTGCCATGTGTCTGTGATCCCAGGACTCAGGAGTTGAGAGCAGGAGAATCAGGTGGCTACACAGCCAAGGTCAAGACTAACATGGGTTACAGGAGAAGGAAACGGAAACGTAGTACAGGCGTCTCTCATCTGTAACTAGCTAATGAAAGCAGCACTGTTTACCTCATCAAGCAGGAATTCACCTGTGGCCTTGAAGATCTTTGTCACTTTCAAAAGGTGGTGGAAATAGGAAATGCCGCTCCTGTTCTCCAAACCCCTTTCTAGTCGCACTCACTGAAACTTATAAATTGTGCTTACACAGTGAATGAAGGAAAGGAAGGTGGATGGGTAGGTAGATGCCGGACTGTCCCCGCACTGCATCCCTGAGTGTGTAGAATCTTGTAATCATGGTGTGATTCCCCCCAGGGCCCTGTAATGAGCAGACTCCGGCAGAACTCATGCTGGCATTTCTCTTCAGAGCTGTTTTGCCCCCAGGAACAGCTGAAGTGGAAACACTGCTCTGTTGGTGAAGTTGTATGTTTTCCTTTCTGTCCTGCTCATCACCATCTCTCCAGCTACAGCCAGGAGATAATGCTGGGTTTCATCTGTTGCTTGTGGATTCGGAGCCCAGGGCCTGTGGTGATGGCATCTGGACAGGGAAGTAGAGAGATCGGGATAAAGAGGGAAGCCATCGCTGCTGTCAGTTTATGAGGTAGTTTTTAGCTCATTCCCATTTGAAAGTAGCCAGAGTTTTGTTTTGTGGCAGTCTACCCAAAATCTGCACGCACTTTCTTATATGGGGGAAGTTGAGGGGGGATCTTCTTCTTAACTTTGTTTTAGCTTTGACGGTATCTATTTAATATACAGCATGACAGTTAATAAGCCAGAAGTTACCTTCTTTAAATTTCTAACTACCTAACCTTACTGAAAAATAAATTTGCTAAGAATACCCAGGAGAAGAGGCATGGCTTGTTCAGACCTGTAACTAGTGTTGCTTTCAGAGGTAAGAACAGGCCTTCTTGACACAGAAAGACAGAGCTGGGCAGCAGGGTGAAGAGGTGTCACGTGACTCCTACCCTCTTCCCATGTTTGATCTCTGCCCAGGGACTTGCTTGTTCTGTGCAGTAGTCTAGAATATACACATTCGTAAATTTGTTCCAAAAACAGTAATTAGGGCAGTAGACGTTGGGCACTGTGCTGTGTAGCTGGCACTGCTTCCCATAGCAGCCATACAGTCTGAGTCAATACAGTGAGCAACCTGGCTGAGAGAGGAAGGAGGGGCAGGCAGCTTTAAGAGGAGTCCAGGCTTAGAGGGCTGACTGTGTGCACAGGAGTGTCTGTTTTCTTGGCTTTCAGTGTAGAAGTTATTTGCTGAGGCTCACAGTATTGTAGGGACCTTAGCAAAGAGGACTTCTTAGCCAAAACTGGAATATGAAGTCTAGGACAGCAAGCTGATAGTAAAAGACAGACAAGCTATGAGAAGATGCAGAGAGCACATCCCCAATCCTGAGTGTTCATGTCTGTGGCTAACCTCTGAACCAGGCAGTATAGCACTTCAAAAAGACAAAAGGAAGAAAGAAAGATGCTTTCATTGAAAAGTGGGATGCAGGGTTTCCATAATTTCACATTGCTAATACCTAAGGTACAATTAAAGGTTACACAGGATGGGGCTGGCTCAACAGTGAAGAGAGCTTGCTGTTCTCACGAAGGATCCAGGTTCAGTTCCTGTCACTGCCATGATGGCTAACAACTGTCTGGACCTCTGGTCCCAGAGGATCCAGTGCCTTCTCTGGCCTCCAAGTGCATTGCACACATGTGCCACACAAGCATATAAAATAAAAGTAATAAATCTTTTTAAAAGTTACTGGGTATAATTAAAGGAAAAAAGAGACAATGGAAAAATAATAAGTCAGTTCAAAGATAGAAGTTACCAATTTGAGGATCAAAGGTTTTTTAGTTGGTTGGTTGGTTGATTTTTTAAAGTACTTAAAAGTAAATGCTTTAGCAGAACCAAAGCTATGAGGAGCCTGCCTTGTATTTCCAGTGGGAACAAAACATCAATACCCACTAATTCCGTGCTCAGTGACTTTATAAAGTGTAACTGCCATGAATAATGGAGAAATGGAAAGAATGAAAACAAAGCTGCAGATATAATGAGAGAAAGGAGCAGGTGGGCATGGGGACACATCTCAGCACCATAGGCAAAGGCAAGAGGATCCATCGCTCAAAGCCAGCCTAGTCTACACAGCCAGCCAGAACTATGTAACAAAGCTCTCAATTAAAAAAAAAATCTGGTTGTGGAGGGACACACTGGTAGGATACACTGAAGCGGGAATCACAAGTTCCAGGCCAGCCTGAGCTAGTCATTTAAAAAAAAAAAAAAAAAAAAAAGGGTTGGTAATGCTCACCCCTAACACCAGCCCTATAGAGGCAGAGAGGCGGTAGGAAGATCTTTGTGAATTCAAAGCCACCCTGGTCTATACAGGGAGTTCCAGGCCAGGAAGAGCTATATAGTGAGACCATGTCTCAAAACAAACAAACAAAAAAAGTGATTTAGGGTTGACTATAAATTATCTACATAACTTGTGCCTTCTGCATAGTTTATTGAGAATTAACTTCCTAGAAGAACTATGACATACCTCTCTTTGCATGTAGTTTGTGGTGAGCAAGCATTTTGTTCTGAAGCTAAGAGGTATGTAGTGATATACATCTGTATCTCAGCTCAGGGATACTGGACAGGGCAGAGTTTACCTGAGCTGTATCAAGA